GCACTCAGAGGATAGAAGCATCCCAGTTCTGCTGGTGACTGCAAGTTCTTGCTTTCAAACTCTGTGGCATGGGCTGCAGTGAGTTTTCTCATGCTGAAAAGATTATTCACAGGCACCTGCTTTTCACAGGTGCTGGATAGTAGGGTATAAAGTGGTGCATCTCTTGTGCCTGTGTCCTCAAATGCAGTTTTCTTCTGCCTTTGACCTTTTCTTGACCACTTTAGTCTTCCTATTATCTTACCCCAGTAGCAGGAAAATATCCTAGTTTAGTGTTGCTGGACCATGTTTCTTTTGTATTCACCCAGAAGCACAATGGTCATTTTTCTCCCCTCTGGGGACAGGGGGGGGTAAAGTGAAGGTCATGAGGAAGGGGTTTGCCTCTAACACTGTTCCTCCTTGCAGCGCCGGTTCCTGTTTCCGTTCTTCGACTCAGCCTACCAAGGTTTTGCCTCTGGCAGCCTGGACAAGGATGCCTGGGCTGTGCGATACTTTGTCTCCGAGGGCTTTGAGCTCTTCTGTGCACAGTCGTTTTCCAAGAACTTTGGGCTCTACAGTGAGTGTCTGGCAGCAAGCTGGCCCAGTAGCATCATACCCAGACAGATGGGGCTGGCATGCTGGGAGGTGGGGAGGGCTCTGCTTTGCTGTGATGTACGGGACCAATGGCTCACGTCTCTTGGCTTGTCAATAGATGAACGTGTGGGAAACCTGACTGTGGTGGGGAAGGACACAGACAACGTGCAGCGTGTGCTTTCCCAGATGGAGAAGATTGTGCGCACCACTTGGTCCAACCCTCCTTCCCAGGGAGCGCGCATCGTGGCAACGACACTTGCTTCCCCACAGCTCTTTGCCGAGTGGTATGTGTCACCAGGGCTGGTGGGAGAGAGGAAGGATGCTGTCTTCTTGAGTGCCAGGCTTGGCCAGATTACTCCAAACCAGACAGGTGCCTGTTCTCATGCTCTGCTTTCTGCCTGCTGCAGGAAGGACAATGTGAAGACGATGGCAGATCGGGTCTTGCTGATGCGGTCAGAGCTCCGGTCTCGCCTGGAGTCCCTTGGGACCCCAGGCACCTGGAACCACATCACAGATCAGATTGGCATGTTTAGCTTCACGGGGTTGAACCGTAAGTACCAAGTGGCCTGGTGAAGGGAGGATTGGGTGAGGACAGTTTTGCTGGGGGTGAACTGGGCTGAAGCAGTCCAGGCAGGAATCCCTTGGGCCCTCACTGGAGTCCTGGTATCACTGCCTCTGTGGCTAGGCAGGGATGAAGCATCAGGCAGCATTTTAGTGGCTGATGCTGGAAGTTCTCTGCTTGTTGCAAAAGATTCAAGCAGCTCTGACTGGTTCTTTCTGCTTTCTGAGCGGTGGTATCACTGCTCTGACCTGATGTCCAATTGTTTCCCCAGCTAAGCAGGTGGAGTACATGATCAAGGAAAAACACATCTACCTGATGGCTAGTGGGCGCATCAACATGTGTGGCCTGACTACCAAGAACCTGGACTATGTGGCCAAGTCCATCCATGAAGCCGTCACAAAAATCCAGTCAAGCATGTGAACAACCAAACTTACATGAAGTCACCAAAGCTGTAGTGTGTAGTCCATGTCTTTCCCTGCTCATGGCTTGCCTTTTCCCACACCTCTTGGGGTTTAATAAAGATGGGAGCGGTAGCTCAATGAAGGATAATAATCTTTTGACCTTTTTGGAATACCCCTTGCAGTATGGTAAGCCAGTGCACCCCAGGAGGGTGGGGGCAGCATGAGCCGCCTTGGCTCTTGTTTGACTGACAGCAGCCTGGTCTTCAGGTACTTGTAACTGCATCTTTAGCACATCCAAATCGACTCCACGTACGTGATCAGTCTGATCTAGGCGAAGTCTGGTGCCAGTGCAACGTGCTGTGTGATAACAGCCCAATTGGTTGGGATCTTGTACAGCTTGTTAACTAATGTCACTCAGCAGTATTCTGGGGAGGGGCAAAGCTGTTGCTGGCTTTCCCCCACCCAGTTCTGAGCCTTATGCGAGCAAACATTCGTAATTGTGGTAATTGCTTCTTTGTGTTACTGACAGAAAATTAAACCGTCATCTCTGAACACTTCTGCCTTGTGTGATGTCGTGCCTTCAGGCTGTGCTAGCCCCTTCCCAGGCTGAGGTTAAAGCCTCTGTGTTGTGGTTTGTCCACTGGGTCTTCGTTTGTTTCAAGGCTTTCCCTTTCTCCCTTGTGGTGTGTTGCATCTCCGATTATCTCAGTTGCAGCTAATGGGGCACAGTCCTATTGGGAAAGTCTCCTTAGTTGAGAGCTCCCTGTGACTGTACATGAAACTGACCAGTTCCTCCTACCTCTGCCTCCTTTTTCTGCGCCTCTACCCTGTGCTGTCCAGCTTGTCCTGTCCATCTGTATGTGCACACTTTCTGGATGGTTGTGCGTTACCCATCCACGTGACCAGCCCTCCCTGTCTCAGAGCTCCTGGCCTGCCACTAATGTGTCGAAAAGTGGATCTTTCCTGTTTCTCCTTCTCAGCAGGCCCTGGTGAACCATCTCCAACTCGCCTGGCTTCAGCGGGACCTGCCAGTGACAGCCTGTGTTTCTGGCACTGAAAAAGAGCCAGGACCATCTGCTTCTGCTCTCTGCAGTCACTGTTTGCAGATCTATTTGTGAGTTGGTATTACCACCTTGATAGTGCAGCCTCCTGCCAAGATCTTATGAAGAAAGGGGAACAGCCCCTTTCCTTGGGTCAGCTAGTGACAGTGTTGCCCTGATGGATTCTGCTTGTGCTGCAGCTTTGACAGCAAAGGCTGTGTTCCCTTGCTGTGTTGGCAGAGAGACAGTGCATAGGGTCTTGTTTGTCCTTTTCAGATTGATTGTGTCACGCGAGGGACTGAGCCCGAGGCAGTCATTCCTCTGTGCACGTGGGGAGCTTTTTCTCCTCTTGGTGTCCACCCACAGCTGGGATGATAAGGTTGTGGTTAAAGGATGACTTCTAGGGGTGATCTCAAGAGGAGGATTTGAAGTAACCAACTCCACTTCTGTTATTTCTGCCATCTGCCTACGCTTGCTGTCCTTACAGACCTGTAGGTGTGGAGCCTGGCCCACCCCACGTGTGATCTGTACCAGTCTTTTGCTAGCCTCACCAGGCTTGTTATTCCTAACGGGTGACCTAAATTTCTCCCTTTTTGTAGTGTAAGCTCATTACCCATTATCCCATTTACCATGGCAACAGAGAACAGATTATTCCTTTCATCTTTGTAACAGCTTTTTATGTATTTGAAAATTTCCTCTCTCCCCTTCACATCCTTCACCAGTTAAGATTAAGCAGCCCTGTTTCCTTCAGCCTTTGGGCTAGGTTGTTTTCCAGCCCTTGCTTTCCTCTGGCCTCCTTTCAATTGCTGTGTGTTTCCTTAGAAGGGCAGTGCCCAGACAGGGATGCAGTTATTCCAGCTGACGTTTTATCAGCATTGGAGGACTATGAAATTTCTGTCATTATCTTTCAGGCTGTACTCCAGCATGTGTATCCCACTATTGTGTTTGAAAATGGCACGGTATTATAACCCCTCTTCTTCCCCAGTCCTCGTGTGCGCTGCTGTGACCTAACTCTTGGCACTGCTGAGTGCTTTCCTGGCAGCAAGAAGGACAGAGAGCCCAGGTTCACAGGGAGAAATTGGGAAGCACTTGCTGACCTGGTCCTCTACCTGCTCCCTTCAGTGATGCCGAGTCCTGTTAACTCCGTCCATCTCTGGCCACAGGTATGAGGGCAGCCTAGACTGGTGG